CGTCCAACCAGTAGCGGCGAATGTCTCCCATGCGGCCTTGAACGTCGCGCTTGCCACCCCCGTATCTGGTACAGTATCGTTTTCCGTGATCGGGGCGCTTCCACGCGTGCTGACCATTGCTTCCCACTCGCCCGCGAAATTCTAAACTGAGTGGAGAGGGGAATTGGCGCGAAAGTTACCTACGGAAATCTATTGTTGTGCGAAATGATTGCTTTAAACCTCCAAATATCTATGTCCAAAAATCGAGAAATGATGAGCTGTCCTTCAATCACCTAACCTGAAAGGATGGGCTCACATGCGCATCTCTTGTTCGATATTTTAATTTTGAAGTTTTTATAGGCTTTTACAGAAATCAAGTCTATTGGCGTTATGCTGTATATACAGCGTAACGGTCACATAGCCGACACATCGTAACGCAGCTTATATAGCTACCGGTTTCAAGGGGTTAAAGAGTTCAAGGCTCTCCACGAAAATCAATCGGGAGAACGCTTGAAGTGTTTACGCTCCGACAATGGAACAAAGCTCGTAAATAAGACGGTCGCTGATATTTGCTAACGGAACGGCTTCGTGCACCAGCGTACCGTTCCATACAGGCCTCAGCAGAACGGAGCGGCGGAACGCAAGCACCGGACTATCATGAAGAAGGCGCGTAGCATGCTACATTACAAGTACATGTCGACAGAGTGGTGGGCAGAAGCGGTGAGTACGGCGGTGTACCTCATCAACCGTTCCACGAACACGGCGAACTCAGATGTCACGCCATACACGAGATGGCGTTCCAAGCAAAACCTCGGATGGATCACTTGCGTATGTTCGGATGGCAAGGGTACGCCCACGTCGACGATGTGAAGAGAACGAAGCTCGAGCCCAAGCGTTTTAGGTGCACGTTCCTCGGGTACGCCGATAACGCTAAAAAGTATCGTATTAACGACTGGGACGCGTCCAAGGTCAAGGTGTCGCGTTCCGTGAAACTGGACGAGCGTGAACTTGGAGGTATTTACGACACGCCGTTACCAGCGCTCACAACGGCTGTCCAGATGGCTAAGAACGGTGATTAAGCTGGCATTCCAACAGAAGTGGAGCGCCTAGCCGCTCCGAACGAACGATGGAAGCGGTGGAAGAACCTGTCCAAGACGTTAAAATGGATGAGCTGGAACCAGAACAGAGTGGAGCGCTTCAAGCGCTGCCTCCACCAGTTGAACCAAGAACGGCACCTTTGAACTGACAGCGCACCCCTCGTCACCGGAGCCGTTTCCCGAAGAACGTCTGGTGCTCCACCCTAATACGGAACGCTCAAGAAGATCACGGGAGCCTGTGTTTCTACCGAAGAACGAAGCGGTGGATGACGAGGAGCACAAGTCAAGCGGAAACGACGACCCGCTAGCTCCGAAGCGTGCCAGGATCAACGAGAACGGCTTAATCGCCGAGGCAGTATTAGCGTATGCTGTCGATATGGGAGGCGCTCTTGATACCCCTAACGCGTTCCAAGAAGAAGTTGCTAGTGCTAAAGCAGCGGAACGACATGAGGGTACGCTGGAGAAGATAGAGACTCACGCTAAGAACGGAACGTGGCATCTCATTCCATGTCAAAGCGCCTGGACGCCCGATTGGATATGGCCGGGTGTTTGCCGAGAAGCGTGACGAGCATGGACAAATTATCCGGCTCAAAGGCGAGTTGAAGAACGCCTTTAGGATGAAGGAGCCTGGCGAGGTCAAGCTCATTCTAGGTACGGATATCATTCACGGCATTCCAGCTGGAACGCTCATGATCAAGCAGACAAGATGTACTGACGACATTGTGGAACGCTTCAACCATCGTGACTTAAAGATACTGGAGGACTCATGCGCGTCAAACGTGAAATTTTCGACGGCTGTGTCGTCAACAACGGGGTTGGAACGCTTCAAGATGGAGTTGGAACGCATCGAGATGCTGTCGCAGCCGCACCGCTCCTTGATCACGTGTCTGATGTACATGGCTCTGAGCCTGTGCACGCAAGAGGGGCTATGCCCACGAAGAATGCACAAGGAGACGGGTCAAGAGCAAGTGGGAGCAATGTAGGTTTGGAAGGACGCTATCGCACTGGAGAGGAGCACTAGATATCACACAAGGGCCAAGCATGTCGACATCCGTCAGAAAGTGGAACGAGGAACGGCTAAGGTGGATTACGGCGACGCGCAGTTCCAGCTGGCCGACACACTAACAAAGTCGCTCGGGTTAAAAACCCTGGCGATCCAGCGCGATGCGACCGGCATTAAGAACAAGGCTACCGTGCAGTAGTGGTGAGTGGGAGTGTTGCAGATGCACTGGCTCTGCACGGTTACCGAGCCGCTCGACTATTGGCTGGAACGGCTTCTGGAACGTTATTGGGTAATCACATGTTGAAGCGCTATGGTTGGATGAAGGCACATTGCATTAGAGCTTACGCCACACTTACGAGAAAACAACAAGAGGAACAGCAGAGAGATACTGTTTAGATAGACATGTTGGACAATTTTGGTTAGCACTAATTTACTCACTTCGGTATTTGCCTCTTACTCAACTTACCCCAAACCAATACACATCAGCTACAAGCCTTGTTTGCATCGTCCTCCACTCTCAATTACGATGAGCTACAGTTACTTAAACAAAGATATTAGTCCGAAAATAGTGGGGGTTTAAAGTACTAACAAATGAGCATTGTTTACGCCAAAATGAGTCAAAAAATAGACCTCAAGAGACGAATCGTTGGATTATTGTTTTGCTGAACTAGCGTTTTAGTCTATTTACCCGAAATTGCTAAGATCAACTAGCCTCCGCTACTCAGGCGATTACGACTAATGCCGTGCTAAGCCCGGTGAAGCTCTGGATATTACGGTATTTTCAAAAAGTAATAACTAGCTCGGAATGAAGGACTTTTTCGAAGAAAAAAAGGAGAAGAATTGCGATTTAACTAAGACTTCCAGTCTAGAAGAAGACATCTACAAACCGAGCGAGAATGATAGTCATTCATTTGAGTGGCTATCCCCGAGCTTCAAAAACTTGAAAACAAGTTGGTACCCTAGCTTAAGAAAGTACTGTATTTTAAAGAAGACCTGTAACAATTTTCCCACAGCCTTAATCTGCTCGATCCTCAATTGCATGACCAATGCACATCAGCTACAAGCCTTGTTTGCATCGTCCTCCACTCTCAATTACGATGAGCTACAGTCACTTAAACAAAGATATTAGTCCGAAAATAGTGGGGGTTTAAAGTACTAACAAATGAGCATTGTTTACGCCAAAATGAGTCCAAAAAATAGACCTCAAGAGACGAATCGTTGGATTATTGTTTTGCTGAACGAACGTTTTAGTCTATTTACCCGAAATTGCTAAGATCAACTATCCGCTACTCAGGCGATTACGACTAATGCCGTGCTAAGCTCGGTGAAGCTCTGGATATTACGGTATTTTCAAAAGTAATAACTAGTTCAGAATGAAGGACTTTTTAGAAGAAAAAAAGGAGAAGAATTGCGATTTAACTAAGCCTTCCAGTCTAGAAGAAGACATCAACAAACCGAGCGAGAATGATAGTCATTCATTTGAGTGGCTATCCCCGAACTTCGAAAACTTGAAAACAAGTTGGTACCCTAGCTTAAGAAAGTACTGTATTTTAAAGAAGACCTGTAACAATTTTTCCACAGCATTATGGTTTCTTAATCTGTTCGATCCTCAATTGCATGAAGTCTCTGGGTTTCTGCCAGAGCATCACGACTTGGAGTAAAATACTCCAAAAAACTCTTTCGTAAGGAGGGCCATGAGATACAACTGCGATAACGTTTTGACTCGAGTGACGGTGACATAGAAAGATGAACGCTGAGGAATCCTGCGAGTCGGATGACGAAGCCGAGCAAGAATCATTTTCTCTACTGTCAGTCCTCCCTTTGAAATACCCGACGTGGTAATTCGTTTTCTTCCTCTGATGTGTGTGTAGGTGTGTGTGTGTGAGAGAGAGTGTGTGTGTGAGAGGGAGGGGGGGGGGGGCTTACTTACGCGTTACGTCGTAAGGCTGACGTGTATGAGGATACAGTTTAGCCAAAATGAAGAAGCCGCGGTCTAACGTGCGTTGTCGTCCGACCTTGCTGTGTTGACGCGAGACGGCCTCGATTGGAATCCTATTAGTATTCAGCTATTCCCTTCTTTAAATCATGTAGCCTTCATGTACTGTACCACCCACCATCGGTGGTATCGTATATTGGAGCAACATCCACCTAAAACCAGATAGCGTGAATGTTGACCCAGGCGGCTTGGAACGACATTCACCAGTGCTTTTTATGCTTTACCGTAGTTTATTAGGTATTCCGTCCGTTTAGCCTATCACTTGCAAGCCCCTATCCTTTTAATAATTACAAATGTAGAACCCTAATATTTTATAGAGAATCGTCGACGTTTTTCGATTGCCCCTAAAACTCTGGATATGAATTTCCAGAGAATTTTCCTGAATGCTTGAGGTGTACTACGCATATTCAGCAGGTGAACGAGATACAAATTTAGAAGGCCGCCGTGATGCTGTTGGCGAAGCTGAGGAAGTTAGCATTGCCATTTTGTCTGGAAGCCCGCGGTGAAGGTAGCGCCTGTTTTAGGACTAATTCTTTGGACGATTCGATCAGAATAATAAGAAATGAGATCAAACTTCGGCGACAAAAATCATAAATTATTATTAATTGACAAAAACCATCATGTGTGGTTTTAGTAGTACTTTCAAATCTCCTAGTACATGTATGAGCTGGTTGTGATTACATTTGTGCGAACCCGTGTAGGGAAATTACATGTAGTAGTATCTGAAGGGTTTGGGCTTTGATATTCTGCTTTCCAGTACAAAATCAGGGCAACGACACGCATTGATCTCCTCAAATTAAATGAGAACCCTCAAGACCGCACAATGGACAAATGGCTCAGCTGTTTCGCTTACTGTCTTGTTATTTATGATAACGCTAGCTACGCTGTGGCCACGCTGGAGGTGTGCTGCGCCGACGATCCCATTCTACTTCACCTGGCAGGGACTGTTGAACACGCAGCTCTGGTGGCAGCACTCATCAAAGTTCATCGCGATGGTCGCGCGACAGCAGCTAGTGAGCTGGTCCGTTAAGGTACAACATTCATCACGTCGACATGTCATTCTTTCGCGCCCCGCCAGCGCTTGAGTGGGCGTTGATATGGCGACCACGAAAGCTAGTATGGCGGCGAAAGAAGTAAGAAATTTCATCGTGTACTTGCGGCTGTTACTTGGATGTAGTTTGACTGTTTTGGAAAATCGAGAACTGAGGGATGTGTGCTAGCCTAACAGCCTGTGCTGTTGGGTATGCAGCATCTAATAATAATAATAATAATAATATCCATGCGCGTTATCCTGGACGTCATGTCTCTTGATGGTGTGACATTTATAAGCACTGGCTACACGTTGAACCCATGAGCAGTGATTAGAACACAACTTTCGCTGTGCTTTTACTCATATTAATGTAGCTCTGTGAAGCCCCCCACACACAAAGGTTTAAGTCTTTTGACGTTACCCACGGTAAACGAGTCTGTAGCGTGTTCATTTCTGCCGCCTTCACCCCGCACTAAACCCGAAAGCATCTAGAAAATTGGAATCGACAGAAAAGCAGAAGCTCTCCAGCGTTTGTTGGTCCCAGCAATTTCGTGCAAAAGTACAGCTCAGCACAACGATTCATCTCTCAAGGCCCATTTTTTTCGGACTCATCATTGGTGAAGAAAAAGCTCATTTATTAGTGCTTTACAACCCTAATTTCGGACTAATCTTTGTTTCATTTTTGGTGATAAAAACAACTCATTTATTAGTACTTTTACCCCTCCGCAACCTTATTTGATAACAGTATCCCCTGTTATTCAGGTGGGGTCTTACACGACAAAGGTGCTAAAATGACATGATAATTGTATAAGTGACTGCAGCTCAGCGTCAAACCAAGGTCCTAAAATACCCACAATAAATATCGTTTTTACAGCGATGTGCTGAAATTCCTTCGATAGATTGTTATAAATTTGTTTCAAAGCGGTCTCTATTACATGATAATATTATTTTCATCGGTTGCTGTCACAATTTACTTCCAGAAGATTTTCTTCTATTATCAAAAATTGACATATTCAGGTCTGGATATATTTTGGGCCACAGCTATTCCTTACTTAAGTACACATTCAAGTCACCTTGGGAAAATGGAACGCAAGCTCTGATCAAATTTAAGTTTACTGGCACGAGGAAGATGCGGAGATACATTGCTATAGGAAGCGACACTCCTTCCTAAGTTCGGGCCACATAGACCCCGCTAAAAACATGCACTAAATAGGGCAACCACGTGTCCACCCTTCGAATGTAAAAACGCCAGTGCCAGAGATGGCAATGACATTTCCGAAAGAGTACGCAATCCCAAAATACTATGGCGTCCAGAAACAGGAGTTTTCAGCACCACGTTCGCTTCCGGACAAAAACCTGTCAGATGGTGTTTTACAGTTTTTTAAGAGTGATGTTATACAACATATCGACTCAAGATTGGAATGAGTACTGCGCCCGAATGAGATGGAGGGTGTGAAAAGAGACTAAGGGAGGTCTGCAGATACGAGGCCACATACCCGTCGTAAACCCGTCGTAAAGTTGTCGAGTTCCAGGTCGGCGCAGCAACGAGTTCCATATCGACCAAGCACAGCCGGTAGTCTGTGAACAATTGATCACGGATGTCAATTACTGATAATCGGCTTACAGTATATAGAGGTAAAAAAACAACATATCGGCTCCAGTTACCGGTATCATGATACGCACGACAAGAAGTGTAGGTTTTGGCGTGATCATGTATGCAATTTACCCCGAATGTATAGATTTAAAATGAACTGTTGTATCCAGTGCTGTCTTTTTTGTAGACACAATCCAAACTAGATCACATCTGATGTGGGCTAGTACCCAGTGCCCCCCCCCCTTCCTCCCCGCGTCCTTCCGTTCATGGGCTCAACGTGTAGCCAGTGCTTATAAAATGTCACATCACCAAGAGACATGACGTCCAAGATAACGCGCATTGATATTATTATTATTATTATTATTCTTAGATGCTGCATACCCAACAGCACAGGCTGTTAGGCTAGCACACATCCCTCAGTTCTCGATTTGCC